GCTGGGGTCATTTGAGCCCAGTTTTCTCTCCTGCCCAGGGCAGGGGATCAGACTTGATGATCTACAAGGTCCCTTCCGACCCTACTTCTATGAATCTATGAAAGTTTTCTGAGTATAGAAGGGAAAAGCATCACACACTGGATCACTGGCTTAATTTCCTGCAGCACGCAGGTGGTTGAAGGTCTGCACCACCCTGAGCTCATGCAACTTGCCAGGATCACAGTCCATGGCTGCTGAGTGCCACGGCACCCTAAAAGGATGGTGCATTTGTTGAAAGGTAGTATTGCTCCAAAGAGTTTGAGAGTCCTCTAGGGGTGCTCCCTGTGTCTTTTGCTGTGGAAACCATCACAAACCAGTCCAAGAATCAGTATATGTGTAGCTAGATCTGGCCTGTTGCTATACACTTAGTAAATTCAGCTATGTATGACCTAGTCATGACCCTCATGACCCTTCACAATGCAGTGTTCCTACTCCATGTCTGCAGCCTCAGGAATAGAAAAATGTACATGGTTTGTGTTGGGTAGGAGGCCAAACATGCAACAGTTGGTGACAAGGATGATGAGGACCTTTTTCATTAGTTATAAGGTTTCAACCATAACTGGACTTGGTCTGAAGATAAAGCAAGAAGCAATATCCCTCTCTCCAATATTTGGTAAAGCTTCATGTGATTGGCTGCCTGCTTCATTTGCCTGCTTCCTGGGGAGGGCAGTCAATTAGGGATTTTACAGGGAGGAGCTAAAGATTTTCATGACATCATTTTACCAGGCAAGGCTGGGGAGCAGAAAGCCCAGAAGCTGCCTTTTGCTCCAATTTCCTACCTTCCCTAGTCTGGGAAAGGGCAACCAACTGTAGCTGCCTGCCCTAGGGGAGAGGGTTTCTGGGATGAAGTGGGGAGGACCAGAACTGGGTGGGGGGGCGGCTGGATTAATTGGAGGTGGGGGTAGCAGAATCAATTGCTAGGCAGAGGATTGATAGACATGGGGTGAAAGCTGCTGCAGCAAGGCCCAAATCCCCTCACTCAATGTCGGAGAGTGGGCAGCATTCCTTTTTTCCCTTGCCCACCCTGAAGGAGCTCAAAAATCAGCATAGGCCAAAGAGACCATGAAGGAATCTCATGATTTTTGAATCTGAGAGATTGGGATGAGAGAAGTCCTAAATCAGGAATACAGTGGAGCAGAGGAGAGCTGCAGAGGTCTTGCAGAACTGACTGGGAAAGGGCAGCTGTCTGTTTGGTGATGAGAAGGGTTAAAAAAGCTTGGGGGAAATGGACATGATCCAAGCTCAGTGGAACATTTGTGTTCCAGCTTCAGCTCCAGCTCCAAAGCAGAGGTAGTGTTGCTAATACAGCCATGCTAGAAAACACAGGTGCCAATTGTTACGTCTCATCTCTGTATTCTTGGGCAATCGGGGCACAGGATGCAGTCTGTCTGACTCACAAAGGACTCACCCCCCCCCTCCCCTCCTCTACCTAAATGAAACTGATTAAGATGCAGTGAGAGACACACCTAAGACCCTCACCAGATAAGGGTGACAAGAGTGAATCAACTGCCCTAGGTCTCATTTACATCCGAGATGGAACCAGATGACCATTCATTTACATGATTCCCCCCCAGACACACACACACAGCTCTAAGTTTAATAGGCATCTCGGGCCGTACATTCCCCGGTCCCACTATGGGAGGCCTATTTAAACTTGATTGACTAAAACTCGGTTGCCGGGTTAGGGAATGCTGAGGCAAGAGACCGAGTCAGAGGGGGTATGGGCAACATTTGAACAATGGTTAAGGGTTCATCACAGCATCCAGCCTGCTGGAGCCCTAATCCCAGGTGTTGTCATATCTTTCCCGAGACGACTGGTGGGAGTCCTCTCCACAAAAGGTTATGAGCACCCCAATAATTGTCTTAAGTCTGTTAAAAGACTATAGTAAGATCTGGAAAAGTCATGCTAAGCTGAGGCTTGTGCACAACAAGTAAAAATCCAAAATCCTGATGCTGCAAGCTATCTATTGTTCCTGAAGAAACCATGAGATATCCCATCAGTATATCTGCCACCCATAGGAATTTCAAGCTGGCTCCCAAGTATTTGGGTTACTCCCTAATCTTAAGTGTTTCCTGATTATCAATCAGTTTCCTGAGATGGTCCAAACCAGATAACCCCTTGTCAATAGAAAAGACAATGATTTACACTACTGAGGGTGCTTCGAAGCAGCTGAACTGAGGGTATAAAAATCTGTAAGTGTGTGTGCTGCTAGAAGAGGAAAAGGAAGGAAAAGAAGTAGAAGCAGGAGGAAAGAAGGAGAAGAAGAAAACCCCTGTGCTGACACCATCCCCTGTCGTTCTTGGGACGCTGGAAGAACAGATCATCTCTCTCTTCAAGGATTGTGCTACGGACTGTGCCTGTCAGCTTTGCAGCCTGAGTACCGTGGACTAGGTGAGATCCCAGCGTTCTCTGTCTTCTTTCTAGGCATAAACTTCTGAACCTGAACTGTATCAGTTAAGCTTGAGCTAAGTTTCCCCAAATACTTAGTGAAACCAGGGTAGTATTGTCATTGTTGGTGTTTGTTTTTCTTTTGCATGTCTATTACTACTAGTACTATTATATATTTCATATGCTTAGCAATAAATAACTTTTATAGTCAAACTGGTAGTAATTGGGTATATTTTTCCTTCTCTGCTTCTCTTTCCTCCCGTGCTCTGCAGCAACGCTTCTTTTACCTATGCTAAAGATCCCTGTGAAGCCCAAATTATTGTGGGGTCTGCTCATCAAGAGGCCAAAGATTGGGACGTGCTGAGTTTGAAACACATAAGGGGATCAGCTTGTACAGGCTGATTGACCCAGTTTGACTCAGATGTGCCCTTATGAACTGAATGCTGGCCCATGAGGGTGTCAGCTGGACACCCAGCCGGATTCAGAGGGATTCTGTTCACCTGTGTGCTTGTGTCTGACTGCAGTTTATTGTTGCTCTGATGAACTGATTCTTGGCATATGAGGGTGTCAGCCTGTCCATGCTGATCAGCCCGGCCAGGTCAGGCGTGTCACGTTAATTTGTGTGTGTTTGTGTGTATGACTGATTTGGTGACTGGAGGAACCCAGCCCATTGAGATTGAGTCCTGCAAGATAGCTCCACTGGGGGTGAGGGCTTGCAGAAGGGAGAGATACAGCTCCGTATAGTAACACAAGCAGCACATTGACAGAATCACCAAGACCCTAGAAACTATCCCTAATAAATGAGCACACCCCAAAGTAATGGGCAAATTTGGTAACACGTTCAAGATGCTGCTATGATTTCTCTTAAGGTCTTATCCAGTGAGAACTAGCCCAGACTTAATTTGTAGCATGTTGTATATCTGTGCATTTTAACGCCCCTTTATACCAAGTGGAAGGATATGTGGCTTGAAGGACTGGATGGGGTTTGGTAGTGTGTAGGATTTGGGTACTATTCCTTTAAAAAAATATTGTGAGCCCTCTCATGGCACTTGGTGTTTTATGTGAAGAAGCCCTAGAAAAAATCCCCAGCAGCACAGTGTAACTGCGTAGCACAGTGTGTATGGAGTTAGGCCTGGCATGTTCTACACCGTTTGCAAGCAGTTATTTAAAACTCCACCGCACCTTTGTGGTTCCTTTTCTATCGTGTTTGTTGTGGAAGAGGAAAAAAACAAAACAACCAGGGAGCAACCTTAACCCAGCCAGCTGTGAGGGAGAAGGGGGCAGTTCAAAGGGAGACAAGTCTACTTGGGGATGTGGTCTGACCTGGTGACAGTGTGGGGTCACATGAAAGTGCAAGAATGACCATGTCCGTGAGTACCCATATCACAGTCTTGCACCTGAGCCTATCCTGGGGACCAGGACACTACATGAGGAGCATTTGGGCCCAGCATGTTGGTGATGGGGAGGGCTCAAGTGATGGAGCAGACAGTGCCTGCTCCAGCGTATCCAGATTTCAGGGAAGTGGGGGATCCTTGCCCCTGGGATTGTCTGCTCCTGCAAGGTCTGAATCACGTGAGTCTCTGTGGGCAAGCTCATTCTAAACTGCTCCAAGCAGCACCACTGGAAACTGAAACAGAGCACCTGAGGGGGGTGGTCATGTGCCTTAACCGCAAGGGACTTTCTTTCGTAATAAAGCTCTTGTGATCAAGACTTGCTACCAAGCGGAAGCAGATGTAGAATGTGGGCAGGGGGGAGCCCAATGGATGAGCTTAAAGGAAGAAAGCTCATAGCTTGGGGCTGGTTGAGCGGAGGCATGGAGGGTATTTCTCTGACCAAGTGCTCTATGCCACAATGACCTCTCTTTTTTTTTTTTTCTTGAGACTAGGACAAGAGCCAACCTCAAAGTTCCCCTGGGTCTGAAGGGTACGATGTACAGTGAGCAATGGCCCATATGTACTGAGTTTGCTTTGTTGCCTTGGTAAAGATTTGAAAGGACTTCTTCAGTGCAGAAGTTCATGCTGTGGTTCTAGAGTCTCTTCTGGAGGTGTTGGAGGGATCTGGTTTGTAGTGCGTGTGGGAGCTTTTGCCAGGAGTGCTACTGAAAAGGAAAATACTCAGTTGGCACCATCTATCTAGTCAGTCCTCTGCTTCCTGGAGAGTGGCCAGTAGGAAGACTGGGTAAAATCCACTTCCACTGAAATCAAAATCCCCATTGACCTCAGTGGAGCCTAGCTTGCTTTCTTTGAGGTCAGCTAGCCTTGAACTGAGGACTCCTGTTTTCTGTTACATGGGTCTGTGGCTACACATTTTGCCATAGTCTGGCTTTGGCATGCAAGATTCTCACCTTTCCTAAGGGACTGGCAAATGGCACTGATGTGCAGTAGAAACTCCATGCTCTCTAACCTTCCCCCAGATCATGCTAATGAAAGGCAGAGCAGTGGCAGAGAGAGTAGTAGCCTGTTGCAGAGTCTGGCCAGCATGAGCCAACAAGTCTGTGTCTGGTTGGAGGTCAGGCAGTGTTTGTTATATCAACCAAGTTACTTTGTTCTCCATAAAGAGATGCAAACTCAGGTCTGGAAATGCAGTTTATTTAACCAGCACATGAATCATACATAACACACACCATGTTCACTTCCTTCATAGGAACTGATACTTCACTCAGACATGTTTGTACACATCAATAGGTTTAGTGGCTTTCGTATGATACAGGAAATACACAACTATTTACAGAAGTGAAAGGCAGATCAGCCACCTGGGATGCAGCAGTATCTTTAAGCCAGCATAGAATGATATAACCAGCCTTGATTTGGTCCCAGATTCAAATTCTGCTCTCAGTCTTAGTGGCTTTCCAGTTGTAGAGTGACTGAAAGCAGAATTTGGGTCCACAGTGGAAGCTAAGGCCTAGCTTAGGCTGGGATTTTAGTTGGACAGGAGGTAGCTGTAGCAGAGAAGACCTCCTAATAGAAGGCATGGTTTATTCATCTGCGGCATTAATAATACAGTCAGCCTTGGGGTAAATTACAAAAAAACCCAGGTTACTGTAGTGTGAACTGCGACTACCAGTGGCTAAAATTCCAGTGAAGGCAAGGCCGTAGCTTAGGTTGGATGATGAAAGAACTGGAGCAGAATCCAACTAGCAGGCTTTTGATTATGCTGGCTTCATGGAGCTGATAGTAAGGAAGTATGAAGAAAACACGCTTTGGAAAAAAGTTGGAATGGACAGACATGAGGAGCCGACACTGCGGGCAGCTCCTCCGCTAAATGTGCTTGTGGGCTGAACCACTTCTAGGAGCTCAACAGGCCAGATGAGCTCTCCCACAGTCCACCATAAACTTCTTCCTTGAGCATCTCCGCTTTACTCTTAGTATTGCAGGATACACCCCCAGACATCTGAGCACCAACCTGGGTGTATCTGTAGCACCAGTGTGGACAGGCACGTGTGGGATGCACCTTTGTGTTCCTGGTGACTCTTTCATCAGGAGGCAGATCCGTGCAGTGTGAAGATACTGTTTCCACAGATTAACTTTTGGGAGCTTTTAAATGTTGTTAGGGAGAGACATTTGTCTTTTTTTCCTGCATGTTCTTCAACACAGGCATCCTCTCCTCATACCCACATGCCCCAACCTTTTGACCAAACCTACTATATGGCACTGTAATAGGTCATGTTGATTTAACAGCAAACCCCACCTCTAATCACATCTAAACCATCTTTTTTCTTCCCTGCCCATTGATAACCACACATACCAAGTCACTGGGGCTGTAAATGCTGGGGTTTGAGGTGCCAACTCAGAATCTGTTACTATTAAACCATCTCAAGACAGGCAAGATGTCAAATGTTTACTGGGAAGGAGGGGTGGATGCTGGATCAGATGTGTGCATAGCTGCTATAAGGCACAGAGAGTTGCTTCAGATTTTGTCTACACAGCTTAAGCACTCACTTCACTAGACTGGTTTAAAACATGATTTTCTACCATTGGTGCCACTCTCCCCAATTGCAGGGACTCAAGTCAGCTTAACTCGGTAACAAACCTTAACTGATTTCGGACACACAGGCTGATTTAGTCCATATGCAAAGTGGCATCTGTTTAACTATCTTGGGTTAAAATCCCACCTTTCATTAAAGCAGTGCAAGGGTGGGTGTTTGTTTTACTAAATACCTCCTGGCTGTCTCAGACCTTTCTGTGAAGAGAGGCAAGGGGAACAGAGAAGGGACAACCCTAACCTACATTTTCCTGCCAAGGTAAGTATGCTTCACTGTGCTCTCACACCCAGCTTTCTGATTCCCTCCCTTATTTCCCAATGCTCCCAGCACTGTTTAATCCAACAGATGAGACTGCATAGTTTGCTTTAATGTATGGAATTTGGCATGCCAGGCCCAGAAAGCTGTGTATCACTTGCTGGGAGAAGGATGTAGATTTAGCTCCACAGTGGATTGCCCCTTCTTCAACACAGAGATCTCAAAGGGAAGTTGTGTGTCATTGTTACAGTCTTACACAGGATCATGATGCATCATTGTGCTGTGACATGGTACGTCCCCTCATAGAGCGCTGCTATGCATTGTCTCCCTAGGCATCCAGGTGTTCATTTGAGAGAGGCTTGCCCTCTCAGAGGCTCCAAAGTTGGTGTGGCCTGGATCAGATGCGACTTATTAGGTCCTAACAACAAATCAGACTGTGTTTTCCACCTCAGCTCCTTCCTTGGGGCAGGGTTCCATGCTGGCAGCAGCATGCCTTTTGCATACTGGGTGAGGAGGGAAGAAAATAGCAGCTTTCACACCTCCACTGGTGTTACCCATTGCCTCATATCTGGATGCTGCACCTCGGTTCAGTTGCTTGCTTACTTCAGGCCGAAATCTGCTCACATGTCTCTTCCTGTGTCTCTTATATGAGATCCTGACTCCTTAGGGAGCTGATGTGCAAGGCTTCAGTGCCATTTGCATACTCCTTGCTTCTATGTTCAACAGAGTTATTGGACTGGCTGGTCCACAGGATCCACTCCAGCTCTTCTGTCTGCCTGTGCACTTGAGAGACACTGGAGAGATTCCCTGACCATTTTTCATGCTTTTGTTCTACCTATCTCAGATGCAAGATGGATGTCTGAGGAGGTGGCCTTCATAGCAGAGACTGGTGTGCATGGGGGGAGTTGTCACTGGATGCTGCAGTATCCTGTTGCAGCCCCCTTAGAATGTAGAAGGCAGTCACTGGTATTAACCTTTGGCTCATTGGACTAGTTTCCCTGGCTGATGCCCTCTCCCCCCATCCCAGCTGCTACCCCCTCAAGGCTCATCCAAGTGAGTTTCACAGTAGATGAGGGGGTCTCCTTGCACCAGCACCCCAGGCCCCCAGATACCAAGGGCAGGGTGAGGAGCCCTGCCCTACTCTCACTAGAAATCTGTGCCCAAATTGTTTCTGCTGCCTGTAGCTGACTTCATGATGGGATGCCAAGAGGTGTTATAGGCATGATGCCCTCCCCCCACCCTTGGCTGTTCCATAGGAGCTTTCAGCTGTGTCTTCCAGAGAGAACAGCAAGCAGGAACAAAACTGTGACACCATCTTTTTAAGTCAGAACAGCTTACAGGGAGTGATCACCATGGCTACCATCTGCAGGCCCAGCATCCCTATCACAGAAGCCATGGGCTGCCGGGCCATGCAGGGTCACCCAGCTCAGGTATGTCCATAGTCTCTAACATGTTCAGCAAAGCTGGGCTGTGCAGGTTGGTAGCAGGTGACAACAGTGAGAGTCTGAAAAGGAAATATCTGATGGGAAGCAGTCATAAAGCAGGTCCTGACCCATCACAGATCAAGTTGGAAGGCTCCAAAATAACTGGCTGCTGTGTCATCAAAATCGATGGCCAGGGATGAGACGGAGACAAAAAGCTCATCACCAGCCTTGAGCTCAAAGAGGCCTCCCTGGTAGAGGGCATGCAGGCCATACTCAGCCTCCGGTGCCCAGCACTTGGTGCCTACACCTTTGAGCAGCAGGATGGGCTGCCTGTAAGTGGTCTTGCGGTTGATGCACTGCACCAGCTGGTGTCCCAAGACACGGGTGCTGGCATCCTCACTGGGGTAGCGGAAGTAGATCTGGGAATAGACATAGTACTTCCCTGCCTGGTTCACCCGCATCTTTCCGTCCCGATAGGTGATGTTCTGAAGATGGGAATGTATGGCTCGGTCTTCCCACTGAGTGATGGGGTGTTGGCAGGACTGGGGGAGCTCCCTGAAGTGCTCTGAGCTTCCTAAAAGGAGAACACAGGTAGAAGTCACTGAGGGGACCAAGCTACAGTCTACTTTTGGGAACACACTGAGCTAGTAGACTGTATTTTTTAGGGATGGAGTGCATAAAGGAGACTGTCCTGAAACAGGTGTCAAGTCTGGACTTGTTTCTATGTCAGGAACATGAAGAACAAGGGATGTTCCAAATAAGAAGCTCCTCAGGTGACAAGGAGCCGGTGTTGCCAGGTGTGTGATATATATTTATAAAGCAAATGTGACTCTTATGCAATGTCAGATTGATAACTGCAAAGTGGCCAAAACCTATGTGAGTGTAGGGTGTCAGGTTTAATGTGAGGCACTACAAAAGGTGCTTTTGTTTGAAAGAAAATATTTCTATTTGATCAAAGTTCTCTCTTCAGTTGACAGAAAATTGTCTTTGTCTTTGTTCCTTGTCCCTTATGCCTGTAGTCACTCAGAGGCATGTTTCACTCATGACTGTGGTTCTAAAAGCAAGTGTGTAGAGGCAGAGGACAGCAATCCTGAAATGAAATTCAACTGAGATACTGAAGTTCTAAGGTGTGAGGCTGAGTGAAATGATTTTCATAGATTTCATACATTTCATAGACATCAGGGCTGGAAGGGACCTCGGAAGATCATTGAGTCCAGCCCCCCGCCCAAAGGGCAGGAAGTCAGCTGGGGTCATAGGATCCCAGCAAGATAAGCATCCAGTTTCATCTTGAAGGTGTTCAATGAAGGCGCTTGACCCCCCTCCGGTGGCAGGCTGTTCCAGCCCTTGGGGGCTCGGACAGGAAAGAAGTTCTTCCTTATGTCCAGCCTGAAACGATCTTGAAGTAGTTTGTGACCATTCGACCTCGTCATCCCAGATGGTGGTGGTCACCCCTGATAAACTTGTAGGTGGCCATCAGATCACCCCTGAGCCTGCGCTTTTTCAGGCTAAAGAGCCCCAGGGCTCTCAGCCTGTCATCGGAGGGTCTGCTTCCCTGACCTCTGATCATGCGCGTGGCTCTTCTCTGGACTCTCTCAAGCTTCTCCACATCCTTTTTGAATTGTGGAGCCCAAAACTGGACACAGTACTCCAGCTGCGGCCTCCCTAAGGCCGAGTACAGGGGGAGAATGACGGCCCGGGATTTGCTTGAGAAGCATCTAGGGATGAAAGCCAGCGTTTTGGTTGCTTTACTAGCTGCCGCATCGCATTGCAGGCTCATGTTCATCTTGTGGTCAATGATGCCCCCCAAGTCTCTTTCTTCCATAGTGCTAGCCAACATAGCACTGCCGAGCCTAAAAGGATGCTGCGGGTTTTTTTTCCCAAGGTGGAGAACCTTGCATTTATCGGCGTTGAACACCATCAGATTCTCGTCCACCCCCTTGCTGAGCCTGTCCAGGTCAGCCTGGATAACCTGCCTGTCCTCTGGTGTGGATGCTTGGCCCCAAAGTTTGGTGTCATCGGCGAACTTGGCCAGTCCGCTTCTGACTCCAGTGTCCACATCATTAATGAAGATGTTGAACAGTATGGGTCCAAGGACAGAGCCTTGGGGGACCCCACTGGTCACAGGACACCACGATGAGCGACTTCCATCGATTACTACCCGCTGGGTCCGACCCCGGAGCCAATTTCCCAGCCAGCGGATCGTGGAGGAGCCAAGGTGACAATTGGCCAGTTTCTCCAAGAGGCGATCATGGGACACCAGATCGAAGGCTTTTTTGAAGTCAAGATATATGACATCAATCTCTTCTCCCTTGTCCAGGTGATAGCTCACCTGGTCGTAGAAGGAAATGAGATTGGTCAAGCAAGACCTACCCGCAACAAACCCGTGCTGGCTATCCCTTAAGATGTTGACGTCGGCCAGTCCATTAAGGATGGCCTCTTTAATAAACTTTTCTAAGATCTTCCCCGGGATAGAAGTCAGGCTGATGGGCCTATAGTTAGCCGGATCCACTTTCCTCCCTTTCTTGAAGATAGGCACCACATTGGCCTTCTTCCAGTCTTCGGGCACTACACCAGAGCGCCAAGTTTTCAAAGATCCTTTTCAATGATCACATTGCCATAAAGAGCAAATGTTTTGATCAGATATTAAAGATGGAAAAAAATGACATATTTGCAATGTATGACAATTTCCTTTTTAATGCAATAATTTTGGGATTCCAGTATATTTCCACTTTTCAAATCTGGCAATGTTGTCTGGAGCTGCCAAGAAAATCCCCCTGCTCCCCCCCGCCAAGCCAAAGGCCACTTCTTCATCCCTCCCAATTGGCTAATAGTTCTCTATTTCTGTCCCAAACCAGCGACTATGGCTGGGTTCTGGCCCCAACTGGGAATCCAGACTTACCACCTTGGGGAGGCTTCTGCTGCCTGAGCGTGAGATGGGCTGAGGACTTGGTAGGTGCTTTTGTAGCCAGCGGTCCATCTGAGGTATTGAAATAGCTCCTCCTGGCTTCTATGGCGAAAGGAAAGGAACAAATAGTTCTCTACAGCTTAGGAAGCTCACGTGAACTGAGCCGTGGCCCCATTTCAGTGCTGGGAAGCCAGCACAGTGAGTCTTGTAGCTCTCGTTAAGTATTTATGGGGAGGTGAAAAGGGACTGGTGAGAAGGCTGGTATTTCTCCTGCACATTTTCATAGCCCTAAAGAAAAACCTGCAGCTCCTTAGAGTGACTGAGCAGGTGTGGGGTATCAGGTTGAATGCTGATGTGTATATGGAAGCTGAAAGGAGTCAGGTACTGAACTTTCATTGGAACTCCACAGTATTGGGGCATCAACAACTTCAGCCTTTTTGAAACTCCCAGTCTGATTTTCTGGGGAAGAAATATTTTTATCAAATGGTCTAATGCTCATGGTTGCTAAAATCTCTACAGCACTTAATGGCCCCAGCCACATTGATCTCTGCTCCATGAAGTTCTGTACAAACACATCATAAACGACAGTCTCTGTCCCAAAGAGCTGACAGTCTAAGCTGTAACCACATGCTTAAATGCCAAAGTGGTTTTGTTGGCTTGAAATCTTCCTCTGCTGCCCAAACACAGCAGCTTCCATTCCCCTTTCTCTTGCACCACCTTTATGCTGGCACGATTCCAATTTAAATGGAACAGGTGCTGCCCTGGAGTGAACGGCTGGAAGACAGGTCCTGTATTTCTGTGTCAGCACACCACAACCAGGAAATGAAACTAAATGGAAGCAGACTAGTTGAGTGTCACCAGTCACTGTGCACGTGCAAATCAGAGCTTTGCATGCATGTATTTGATGGCCATGCAAAACAGCCTGCATTGTCATAGGCTGCTTTGGCCAACATGGCCCTTCACCACAGACTAAACAGGGACCAGAGCAGCCCAGCCCAGCCCAGTTTGCTGTTCAGTGCTTTGCACTTCTAAACACATAAGGCTATTTCAGTCTCCTCTGAGGAAGGATGCTGCCCACATAGGCTGGAAACTCACCCTTAAGCGCGCTTCTGCGCATAACATTCTCTGTCACCTGGAAGAGAAAAAGGTCCTGTGAGTTAGAGGAAACAACGATCTTCCCCTGTGCCCTCTTATCACTACCTACTATGCCATCAGACTACAAGCATCTCCTGTCACTGCTACTCTGTTTTCCCCTACCACTGATCAGCTTGGATACTAGTACGTCAGGCTTAACAATCCCTCCCCCTGTCTCTCAAAGAAGGAATAGATGGTGAAATTGAGGCACAGAAGCTGTGTTCATGCCACTGCTGACAATAAGTGCAGTTGAAATAGCAAACAACAGGGTTTAACAGCCAGTGTAGACAGCAACATGCTATGTTGGCTTCAGAAACCAGGACTAAGTCCTGTTCAGGGCAAGGTTTCCTTTGGTGCTTGGCCTGTTAAAGCCCGTTCAATGCAGGTTCAGCTGCACCTGTTGTTGACACTACTTGTGACTGGCAGAAGTGAGCTTTCCCAGCTAGTCAGTGGTAGGTGTGAGAGAAGGAGCAGAATCTCAGTGACTCTTTCATTCCTTATCTTTGCTGCTTGCACAGGCAACAAGGTGGTTCCAGTCAGGATGGCGGCTTTGGCTAGACACTTGGAGACGCATGAACTTACCAGGTGGGAACAATTTGGAGTCCCTCTTAATCAGGGAACAGATTAGAAATGGTAGCATGTGGAGACTGGCCTGTCCAGAACCTATTGCTAGGATGTCACCCTCTGCGCTGCTCTGGGGTCAGAGCGCTCCCTTGCTGATCCCCTGGATTCCTCATGGACTCACCATGGTTACGTAGGACTTGATGCTGCTGGCCAGCTTGAGGCAGGACTGGTTACCAATCAGCTCCTCCAAGTCAGATATCTCCTGCAGTCTGTTGATAAGCTGCAAACATCTCAGCTCCTCAGAGCTACCCTGCGTCTGGGCTTTTAGCTAGGAAATAAAAAGATTGACTGAATCAGTTCTTCATTCTCCAGCTCTGTCCTTTGCATAAGGGAGCGTTAGGTTCATGTGATCCAAGAGAGCACAGGGCTAAGATGCAGCCTGAGTGAGCTTCTTTGAACCCAGAGGTTGAGATCCTGAGAGGAGAGAAAATCCTACAAACATAGGGCAAAAGGAACCTCAAGAGACTGTCTAGTTCTTTCCTTGAGCTAATGTCTTGGTACTAATCAGCATGAACCAAGGGATAGGTCATAAACCCTGGATTCAAGCCCTGAGCTCTACTGCTGACTTGATGTATGTGTAGCTGAGTTGCTGATCCTCTCTGTGCCTCATGCCTCCCCTGATTCTCTCCATCATGGAGAGAATGGTTCTCACTTGCTTCTGCAAAGCATTGGGAGCCTTAAGCAAAGAAAGCTCTTTCCGGTGTTGCTATCAGAATGCCATTCTACATTAATAGGCACATTGTCAGTAGCAGACTTAGTAGTTGTTAATAAATCTTACAATGTTGTTGCTAGTTGCATGATATTTGGTGTTTTCATTAAAGCTCCAGCTTCTGGAGTCATCTGAAAATTACACTCTAGCTTTCATGACTGTGAGGAAAATATTGAAAGATGTGAGAGTAACAGAGAGGCTCCAAAGGTGTAAGGCAACGAGAGAAGCTAACATTTTTTTTGTCTCATGATTTTTGTCCACTCATGTGATCTTGGGGAACCCAACTCATGATTTTGGAACCTCCCGGATTGCTGACTTAGATCTGTGTCTCTGTCCTGGTTGCAAAAAAATGCCAGTAGTTGGATCCCACCTGGCCTGCTGATCAGTGAAATGAAGCCCTGCTGTTGCCCAGGTCTGGAAGAGTACTTCTCTAATAAACATGCGTGAGTAATTGCAGTGCATTGCACTACTCAGCTGTATGTGCTAGCAGCCTTGTTTCTGTTGGCATGTGAATTCAACTCTGGCTGAGATGCTGGATTAATGATTCTCCAGCCCTTTCTTCCAGAGCAGGCAGAAGACAGGCAGTGATAAAGTAAGCTGTTTGCAGACTGTCCCATCCAAGTGTTGCATCCCTGCCCTGCAGGCTTTGCTGGTGAACAGGCCAGTCAGTCCCTGGAATTAACTGCTTTTCCCACACTTTTCTTTCTGCCTTTAGAATCATTTATTGCTTCTGCTCAGAGCTGGTTTTGAACTTGGGAGACAAGCAGGGATGTGGCTCTTTGCTGAAGTGTTCCTGTGACTAGACTTTCCGTCACTTACAATTCTTGCCAGTCTGGTGCTGAGCATCTTGAGCACCATGGACTTGATAAAGTTGGGGCATGAAGTACCCTCAGGGTCTGGTGCTTTGAGCACTGTTTCATATACACAAGACTGCTCTCCCATGCTTTGCAAAGGCTGAGCTCTACCTAATAGGAAGCAGAAGCTCCTTATGGGCACAGTCTCCTTCACATCCCTGGACCACTTCTGTTCACCTTTTGTATAAATATCTACAGCAATCTACAAGGGATGACTTGAGCCATTTCCAGCTGAACAGCTCCTCCCAGTTGTTCAGCCTAGATCAGCGATTTTCAACCTGTGGTCCTTGGGCCCCTGGGGTTTTGCAGACTATGTCTAAAGAGTCCACAAAAGATTACTATGATCAATCAAAAGTAAGTTAATACCCACACTTACAAGTCAAAGGGACTTGTACCTCCATTCAAAATTTCCAAAGCCATCCATACCTCCATTCTAATTTTTTAGGCAGGCAAGGCTCTTTGAGTAGATGTATTTTTATTAGACCAACTGAGTAGTTGGAAAGAAGTTTTTAGCAAGCTTTTGGGTGCAGTCACCCTTCTTCAGGCATAAGGGAGTCTCTGCTGTTCTGAGACTCCAAGGAATGAGAGAAGCTAAAAGTGTGACAGGATGTCAGTGAGAATGTAAATAGGTATAAATTAGGAAAACAAAAGGTAAAGCAGGGAAGGGAGGGGGTGGAAAAAAGCCAAAGGTGTGTAAGGGAGATTCAACAGTAGTAGTAATTCAAGGTAAAAAAAGAGACTCTCTAATGTGTAGGGGTTTGAAAATTAAAAAAAAGGTTGAAAAGCACTGGCCTAGACCATGGGACCCCTATTGTTTTGAGCTTTTTCTCCTCAGAATGTGTGCGTGTAATATAGGCCTGCTTGATCATTCTGCAGACAAAAATACCCCCATCTATTTACCCCAGGAATGCAGCCCACAGTCCATTAGTAACAAACAACACAATAGGCAGGCAGAGTTATAAGGGAAAGATCTTTTACTCAATAAGCAGAGAAGCCTGGCCTAAACCCCCTGGATTCTCTCTCACTTCCTCTCCTCCAACAAACCTGACACCAGGAATCCAAGCTTTCCATGTACTGTTCTGCTCTCCATGCCATAGTACTGATTGGCACCAAAGGAGCTCAGGCTCTAGAGCCCATTCAGTTCTTGGCACCTCTACTGAGGTTGCCATCAAGTGTCACCAGAGACAGGGATACCTCATGAGACTCCCAGATTATTTCCTGCACCAAGACAGGGGACAAATCTGTTGCCGCTACCAAGCTGGGCTGAACAGGACCAGTGACCTAGAGGCAAAAGGCCTCCTTTTTCTGGCAGCCCTATGGTGCTGGTTATTGCAGGTCAGTGCACAAGACCCCAAACCCAAGCCCTAACCCAGAATGTGTCCTACCCCAGCTGTGAATCACGTTATTAGCAAAAGTCTCTGAACCTGACATGGGGGCTGCCATTGAGGCAGAATTTCCCTTCCGTGGCACACTGTCCTTAGGAAACAGGAGACACCAGCTGCTGAGCTCTGTTGAGGAGGCTGCTCAAGGCTTTGGAAGGCAAAGATTAAGCCTTCCTTGCCAGATAAGTAGAGGAGGAAAGCTGAGTCTTATGGAACATGAAAGCTGAGCTGCACTGAGCACAGAGCCTGGAAGGCCTGTATGCCCTGACTCTCTGCACTGAATGAACTGGGCAGCTCTCCCATTGCTTTAATTAGCACCAGAGAATTAGGTCAGGTATTGTGAAATGGATTCCATCTGTGGCAAGCACACATCCCTGAGCTGCCCTCCAGCTGTTTATATCTGCAGTCAAATTATTGTCTCCTGAGTGCACGGCATGACTCACTGGCTCAGACAGACCCTTAGAAATACTTACTAGGCTGTGGCAGGGGAGGGATGGCTGGGTCCCAGCCCTGTGGAGGGGTGGCCTGGGGAGCTGCATTGCATGTTTCCCCTTCCTAGCCCTCTGTTAATGTGCCTCAACCCTGCTGAAACCCTCGACTAAGTGGGGAGAAGCGGGAGGCTGAACCCCGGATGATTGTTCCCTGGCCTCCCTGCTCAGCCAGCCAGCCACCAAGGGGCCTGAAGGAAGGGATGGGCTGAGACTAGCCTCATACCAACTTACTGCACACGGGACCCCAGTATCTGGATTGTTGCAATACCTACCCAACTGACAACCTGGCAGCTGGATACAGCCCATGCAGACATTGGATATGTTCTGCAGAGCAGGGGGATTTCAGCCATGCCATGCTAATCTGTGGCTGGTTGGCTAGCAGCTTTGCCCATGCGGCATTGTGGTTGGGGCATGGGGAGAATTGGCATAGCACTGTCCCACCTTGGACCCAAGCTGGGTCATTCCAGAAAAACATTACCAACCACTGTCTCTGTCATCTTTGCTATAACTCCAGAGCACATTCCCCCACAGATCCAAGAGCAGAACCCAGGAATCCTGACAGCCTTCCTCAGTTCTGGTCCTAGAGCACAGTCCCACTATATCAGTCTTCCTGATCTCATGAACAAGTAGATCCAATGAGACTCCTGTCTGTCTCACTCCTGGTACATTTTCAGCATACATGGAGCTGGAGTAAGGCCAGGACTGTGGTTTTGTTTTGATTTTGTACAGCACCCAGCACGATCAGACCATGAACCCTGACTGAGGCTGTTAGGTGCTACTGTAATACAAATAATAATAAAAATGGCAGTGCTCAACTGTGAGGGTGGAGTGGGGTGAAGGGAGTGTCTGCAAAACAATGACAGGTAACTAGCCTGGCAGCAGGCTGAGATCCCCTGCCAAAATGTCCCTGGAAAAGGGTATGTAGAAAGGAATGGTGGAGAGTCTGACGATGCACTTAAAATAATTCAGCACTTGGATAGTTTGAAGGGGCACCATTGGCTTCAACATTGCTCTCCTTGGAATATAATACATAAACTTACTCTCTTCCCAGGGCTGTAATGAAAGAACTGATGAGAAGAAAAGTTTCTCTCTGTCTCTCTCCATTTACTTTATGCGCCATACAGTCTTCTGTGTCTGTTTTATTGTTTTGCTATATCCAGTCAGGCCTTCAGAGACTGAATCATGTTGCATGCATAACTGACATCATTTCGGCAGTAGATCAGCCTTTGGGAACATCTTCACTACACTTCATGAAAATATATTTATTGCTTTAAGCTAGCTAATTCAGATACTGTCCCCAGCGTAGCTGCAGTAGCTCAAAGGCTCAGTGGCTAAGAATTTACCCAGCTTCTTGGCTGGGTTTTGCAGCCATGCAGTTGTGATTACTCTCCTAGCAGTACCTGTGCTAGCTAGTTTGAAGCTAGCTGTGATATGTCTACTATCCAGTCTGCACAACACCCTCCAGGTGCAAGTGTTCACATGCAAAAGGTATATTTACATAAGTCCTTTCCAGGTTCAGTGTGTAAAACAGTGTCTATGCTGCAAGTGTGACTCCAGCCTGCATAGCCAAACCCATTTTCCATTTATCCTAGCTAATTTGGGCCACACTAGCAAGGGAGCTATGGCAGCTGGGACTTCAATGCATCAGCAGAAGCTGGACAAGACTCTCCACCCTCAGCTCCATGGGTATTTTATTTGGAGGCATAAGGCCCTAGAGCCATGGCTTCAGTAGATGAGTTCATTTAAAGGTAGCGCAGCTGTGTTTATGGAGGCTGCAAGCCATTGCCTCTGTCACAGGGGAGGGGAAAAGAATAATTAAAGTAAATGAAAAA